CCTCAAAGTAGCAGACATTTTGAGCTGTTCTCTCCCCTTGAGAGAAAGACCGAGAGAAAGAGAGAGAGAGAACTCTCTGCACTTTCGCTGTCCCATCTTCTGCTGCTATCTTTCTCTTCATGGGAGAACATAGCTGGAGGGAGCGAGGGAGGGAAGAAGGGAGGGTTGGAGAGAGCACGGTTATTGAATTACGAACTCTTAGCTTTCCCAGTTCTTGCAGGGTACGCGCCTTAAGGGACGCGCGCAAGTATGTTCGCAGAAAGCTCTTTCACAAGAGTTGTAAATAAAAAGAGTCATCCATTTTTAGCGGGTCTAGCCTCTTAAAATGCGGGTCTATACGATGCGCGTGCAAGGTTGCGATCGACGAAGCTTTTTGCTCATTTGAAAATCGTACAGTGAGCATCGCCTCGAAATCGTCGCACCGAACAATTACCGATACATTTTATTAAACACGTCAATATAATTCTGTCGTGTTAAGTCAGAAGGCTGTCTATCTGCAACTTTCGCTTAAATCGAGATATTAATGCCGAACAGTAAAACAAAAATGGTTCGTCCAAATAAAAAAATCCTAACTGCATTGAAACTGAAGGTATAGCAGTTTATACTTCGGCTACCTAATTCTTAAGTACTGAAAAGCCTTTTTTCTAAAGTCATTCGTCCAATTATCTTTCTTGAATTAACACGGCAGAATATAATATTTAGTTACACTTCAAGAGGAGATTTCAATCTTCAAATCCATGAAACATAATTTTTCAATATTTGTAGTATTTTCTACTGCCATTCGCTGCACAATGTAAGAACATTTCAGAAAAGAATGAACCGTGAAAATGAACTCTGGTTATATTTGATACAATTTTTTCCATGATATGACAATTTGAACATCGATGATTTCAAGCGACTCACTGTATATATATCGTACATTAAAATCAGACATCTTTTCATACATTGCATTGTATTTTGCATCATTTCGTTGTTCGTTCGAACAAATGACTTTCTTCTTCGTCATTGTATTTCTAATCATTGATTATTAATTAAGTTAGAGATGTTCGGGATAATCTCGCGCTTGTAGACAGTCAGACAAATTTTTATTCTTAAGAATAAGCAAGCGTTTTTTTTTCTTCACACTTTATAAATACATACCGTAGCATTAACAACATTTAGACCGAGCATTTTTATCGATTCGAGGCCTGTTCTATTCGCACAAGCATATATTAACGTGCGTGCGTGTGTGTGTGTGTGTGTGTGTGTGTGTGTGTCTGTAAAGTGAAATGTCGTTATATTTGCTGGGTAATATAATTTGCAGCGATGCATATTCGAATACTTTGAACTTTGACTTTTAGATCGGGCCTCTATCATAGAGTAATACATCACTATAATCAAAAATAAAGGCTTTAAAAAGAATAAATGAATCGCCGGGGGTACTTTTTGACGGCGCGACGACACGCGCGGAAAGAATGTTTCAAAAATTTAACGTTTCTGATAGAAAGTTAAAGGGAAAAGGGTGAACAATTCTTTCTCTTGCTCGCTCTGTGAACAAAATATAGGAGAATAATAAACGCGCAGAAGTATTAACACGCGATAGTTTGCCTAGTAAATTTCTAAAAGGTGCGATACCTTGTCCAATTCTCTTGCACAGCATTAGCAACAAAATCTAGTTACATTAGTTTCAGTTCGGTTGTTCACAAAAATATTAGAAATACTTTGTATAACATGCACAACCACTGTGATGGCCTTGATACAGATATAAAATAATAAAATTAATAAAAAGTCTGTGATAAAGCAGAGTTGTCGCTCGACGCAGAAATAATATAAAATTAATAAAAATAATGTCAAACGAACTCGTTTAACTTATGAACAAACTTTCTTTGTGAAAGCAAATTCTTCGTTACGGTATCACTTGTTATTATTGTATTATACAATTATTGGCCTGTAGATCTTTATACAATTTTTATGAACGTAATCAAAAAAAAAAACATAATTTCGTTCTGTACTTTCGTGATATTCTATGTGTTTCTGAAAAGCGTTCTGCACATTTTTGCATCTTTAAATTTCCTACAAAAGTGTGAATATTCACTCTCTAGTTACTGTTCACTATTATTATTATTTTAGATAATGTTGCAATTAAGGATCACGCAAGAAAAATATCCCCAATAGTGATCAAACAAAATTATGTTGATACAACGTCATTGAAAATCTGTATGTTACAAAATGTTTTATAATCCAAGCTATAAACATTGAACTTAATTCTACAACTTATTATAAAATGTCACATGGAACGCCATTTACTGTATCATTGTGTACAACTGCCAAATAAAAATCAAGTTCAATTGTTTTTATTTCATATTAATAATGCAGAATTTTAGTGTTCATCTGAACAATCGCAAATATGTTGAACGACACGAAACGAAAATACGAAATAATGTGAGAAGAGAAATATGAATGAGAGTTGAAAGCGATCTCATAGAATGATCAGAGACTGTTGAATCTAAAGTTGCTTAGAAGTCAAAGAACTAGTTCTAACATCTAGTAAAAAAAATAATTTTTATAGCTCTTGCAGCGTGGAAAACAGATTGATAATCAGACTGGGGATTTCTATTTATGGAACGATCGAGATGATCTACTGAACAAGACTCCACTTATTACGTCCCTTTTGTTACTATTTTATTAAAAAGAGAAAAAAAAGTGATATTTCACTTCGTGTGAAACGGGGCTGGTCTTCAAGTAAAAGTTTGTCAACGCGAATAAATTAGCTTCAAGTAAAAGTTTGCCAACGCGAATATTAGTTGGCCATAAATTTATTGCACGTTCGAAATAGTACACCTGATTTTCAATCGCTTTATCTGTCGTTGGTTTGCTAAAATTATCCAAAGATGAAAGCCACCTGGTTACTCCGGCAACCTCCCCCTTCAATTACTCTTTATTATTTAGCGATATTAGTTTTAATTTTCTCCCCTCCCCCCCCTCTCTCTCTCTCTCTCTCTCTCGGTTGTTCTTCGGCAGCAAAACGAGAAAACTTCGACGCGAAACTAATGACTCACGGTGACACGTAAATTCAAATTATTTGGGATGCAAGTATCTTTTGTGCAAGTGCAAATCGGCTCGTGTGCCGTGAATTCAAATGCGGGTCGCAATTGGTTATGCGTGGTGCTTCGCTTGTTCCGTGATTTCCGTATGTACAGTTTAAAATGATGTAGATACACATATATCTGGAGACACGGATGCATGTGCACATGGCGTCTCTTTTTGAAATTATCAACACAATCCTCCTTGCCTGACAGGTCGATACAATGCGCTGGCAATTTACCTCACCGAAGAATTTATATCAATCCAATACACGTGATAACAGTGATATTTTTCGAA